AAAGTTAAAGCTAGAAAGAATTAATTACAATTACATATTCACTTTATCTAATATTACTCATAGAATTATTTCGATCATTTGTAATCATCGTCTATTATTAAATGTTTTATGAAAACTAAAAAAAATATTAGTAACATTTAATATTTGTCTATTTCTTGATCAGTAAATTTAACACAATTTAATAACATTTTGACTTATTATAATTAAACTCTGTACCTTGTGTTTTCTATATGTATTCTGTGAAATATTTGACATGATAGTTCTTAACTTATGAGCTGCATAAAATTATATCAAAATCGTACAAATCCTATTCTACAATATTTACACCAAAATTCTAATGTATCTCCTTTTCATATAAACTTGAAACATTTTTGCTTATCATGCGGTATTCGTGTCTTAAACAATATCGAATCAGCTCGATACTGTGTATTCAATAGAGGCATATAGCCAAAAACCTAAAATCATTAATTATACTGAATAAAATTAACGAATTTATTTAAACGATAATAATAATAATTTAGAATATTTAAATGTAATAAAGAAAAATATAAAAATAATTAACAATAAATCTTTTTACCTGTGAAAAGAAATTGATACATTTATGTCTTTCTTGAAAATGAGTATCATCTTCTGAAAGTGAAACTGGACAACCAGGACATCTAAATGTCCAACGTGATGTTACCTAATAAACAAGCAAATATTTTAATATTATTGCATCGTATATTAATATATTCACATAAATTTTCCAAGTTCAATCGTATGATTAAAATGCAAACAGAAATATTATATTACAAAATGTTTAAGTTGTAATATATAATTGCAGAATTTTTATAAAATCTGAATTAAGAAATTAAAAAGTTTTGATTTATAATATTAATAAGAGTAATGAATATCTTCTCTTCACATAAAATATATGTATAATGTCTTACTTTAACTGGTGGTTTCCTTGTAAGATGAGATATTAAAAAATTCATTGCAATGTCCTCACAATTCATATATTCGTCAACTTTATCTCTTATTGCTTGTGGTAACCAATGTGTGTACAGATATGTATAATGTTTATGAATGAAAGCAGCCCCAGTTAAAACCATGGATAACTCGCAAGAATAATTAGAATTGTAATTCCAAGCGTTGTGATAATTCTGGTCCCATGCATGAAATCGACCAGGGAATCCAACTACACGATCTCGATGTTCCCTCCACACTCTAAAGATGTACGTTAATAAATAACAAAAGTATATTCGAATAAAAAAACTGAAAAATTGGCTTACCTAAAACCAAACATGATTTCATCATGTCTCAAATGAGCATCATCATCGATAGAAAGGACGGCTTCTGTCTCAATTGCATCAAATGGCAGGAATCTATTATTCAAACTATTTCTTGGAGCTTTTATAACCTGTTCAAATATATTTGAAAAATATATTTTAATGTGTAATCTTTAAAAATAAATGAAGATACTATAAATAATAAATTAAAATTACATGTATAGGAACGCCGATATCAGGCCACTTGAGATCTTCTACAGGAGGTTTCGGACTATTCCATACTACAAGTACCTTGTTTAAATAAGGTAAGCCATAAAGACGCGCCAATGAATTTATAAGAACTTGTTCTCTTTCATAAGTTAACATGACAATTGTAAATTGTTCTCTTGGATAATTTCCTCCTAACGATTCACTAAATTCTTTTCCAGCACCTCCAGCACCTTTACCTATCGGTCGAAAGCCAACTTCTGAACCTATGAAAAAACAAAAAAGCAATATAAATATAACATGTAACTCTCGTAGAATAATTTCTAAAATAATGATTTTACCAAGAAATTTAGCGTCACTGGGAAGAACAGTATCAAAAGGTAATTGTGGATACAAATTAAATGGATCCATCCAATCATTCCAAATTTCATGATTTTGAATTAATAGTGTTGTATAATTTCTCTTGAAAGCAGGAGATGGATACGGCGGTTCTAAAGGACCTAAACTTTCTTCAGCTTCAGGTTCGGCAATAATGGCATCCGATTTTAAAGGCTTTAAAATAAAAAATAATGTAAATTATAAAATTAAATGTGTGTTTTTCATGTTAAAGTATATAATACATACTTTAATAAGAAAACCGTGTCACATTAAAATACGTACCACAAAGCTTTCGTTAAAAACACTAGGACTGGGTGTTTGAGACGCTGGTAGTGGAGGTATACCAAGTCTGTCTCTTATTACTGCTATGGTCGTATCTACTACACCTTGAGCAGTACTCATATAACGTTCCCATATTAATCTACCTTGTCTTCGAATAGTCAAAAGATCGTTGTCAGGAACAGCGCGCAGTAAAAAGTGCATTTCAGTCACTCTAGCCTAGATAATTATATAATTCTATCAATATCATTTCAATATAATTAAAAAACAAATTTAATAATAAATTACTATAAAAATTACTTTAGGTAGGAAAATAACTGCTCTCCTCCAATCAACAACTTCGTTATAATTAAGCAAAATCTGATCACCACCAAGAATGACTGGTATTGATCCAGCTCGTAATGCTTCGTACAATCTTGCTTGCATAAACGAAGTAGTCAATAATGTAGCATTGCTGGGAGCTAAGATCAATGCAAATGTTGATTCCTTTAAAATAGCTCTTCTGGATGAATCAGTTCCACAAAGAGACCAATCAAGAGTTTGCACAGGCTTACTCTCCATAGAAGCTGGTATACATTCAAATTGAATGAAAAATTTATCTAAAGTTATTCCGTTGCTCATATCTTTTAAATGTTGAATAATAAATGCATCTATATTATTATCATCAATTATCAATTTTTCCAGATCTATATCTGCGTCATCAATTTGATATGTCATCGGTGTACCCATAAAAGTCCTCATTTCTCCTTGGAATGACAGCAAATATTTCCTTCTTGCAGGTAACATTTGTGCGCATTCTTGCCAAACATCTCCGCCAGGTGGTCCCAGAATTGGTGGAACAATTAAATCGAAATCATCGCGAAATTGGTTTCTATAAAATGTTGACTGTACTACTATCGCTCTGCCAGTATCCAGATTACTAAAAATATTTCCAGAATCTGCAGATAAATCTCTACGTGCAAGATTTAATAATATGTGATTTCTACCGTCTCCACCCCAATAGGGAAGTGCTTGTAATTTCTTTATATCTAAAGCTTTATTATGACGTTGATCACTCTTTTGATGGAGACTTAATGCTTCACCAATTAAGACTATGTAAACACATGCCTCTGCTGGATTTCTAGTAAGATGTGGATTATATCCTACAATCAATTTTCTTTATATAACAAGTTTTATCACAGATAAATACTTCATAATGCAAAAGATATTTTTAAATACAATCCTGTTTACTTTGTGTAATATATAGTTTATTTATATCCTAAATACGTACCTAATGTTTGTTTAATAGTCGTTTTTAAGAAACCGTCTACATCCCATCCTGGATTAACTACCGAAAATTGATCTGGATCATACAAGTACACAGGAAAACCACTTGTCAGTGCACATCGACTGTGATCGAAACAATTGTACATTCTACACGATCGTGGATCTGTGCTAGGTAATACAATTGGCAGAGTGTTAATCAATATTCTCTTAGGTGGTGCTAATTCAGGCGTGTTTCTTTCCACTGCTTCTTTCTGTGCCACCTGTGCTTGCTCCACACTTATTTTTAATCTATCAAGATCCGTTTGCTGATGCAGTAACTCTTGCTTCAGCTCGTCTATTTTTTGCGTCAAGCTATTAACTTCGCTCTGAAGTCTTTGCCTCTTTGCGCTCAGGTCTCTCAATTCATTGCTCACTGAAATTTTTATACGAAACATTTCCTCTATTCTCATCTTCAGCTGTGACGCTTTCATGGATGTGAAATCCTCAAAAGCCTCCAAGGTTGAGAATGTTCTATACATATCCCTATCTGGAACATCTGATTCTACCTGAAAGTCAACTCAAAGTCAATGCAATGCATTCTGGAGCAAATAATTTTTAAAAGCTTAACTTTCTTCTTTAACTGTACCTTAGATAAATAGTAATGCGTAAATAATGGCACAATAAATAAGACTATAGACGTCAAAATAATTATCCTTGACAATTTGATGTGTGTCAACCATTGGCACATCTCCCTCCCTGTTCCACTGTGATAGAACGGAAGTGCCTCGTAAGTATTTCCCATCATGATTATATGGAATTGCTAAGTATTTTCATCTGTCTAATAAATTCTGGATACTTCCATCTAGCATTTTCTTGGATTTCTGCAAGTAATGTTACACAGACATTGTGAGTAATCTCATGAGTTTTTACTTCATTTTGCATGTAACAAAAACAGCTTTTCATCCATAATTTCTTACAATTTAGTTTAATTTAAAGGACAAAGAGCACGCAAACGCATTATTAATACTAGTACCTGTTCACACTAGAAACCGACGTAGAAATTAAACCTGGAGATGACTTTATCAGACCATATCATCGTGCTGTCAATAACCTTCGCAATCTCATGGTCTCCTCCGTTTCCCTGCTATCCAGACCGAAAAAATCACGAGCCGGAGCAATCCCACGAGGACTTTTGATAGAGTCACATTCTACGTCACACTACTGACTACCCTCGGTCGCATCGAGGACATCGAGGTTAGTCCGGGTTAGTCCCGAGATGCGTCTCACTTGCATACGTCGTCCATCTGATATCTCCGCTCTCGTGAGAGACCCAGCGGAATGCAGCGTATACTACCGATCCACTCAATGCTCTCGAGATCGCATGCCGAAAATGTGAAACGGCGTGGCGAACGTGAGCAGCTGTCCGGGAGTTATCGGAGTTGATCGGAATTATCCACGTCAATCTACTTTTCGAGATTCGGAAAGACTCGACGATCTCTTCTGCTTTCTCGTTAATTCCTCCAGCCGCGTTCAGTCGCATTTGATGTCGCATGTCGCGTCAATCAAATTCGAGTTCGAACGGCCCGCTCGTCGTCGCCCTCCAGTCGTCTCGTATCCAGGTTTGCTCCGATGACGTTTGGTGGCACATCGCGACTCGCGACGACACGTTGCGCATCCGCGTGATGTATTCGCGTCTCTCGAGGTCTTCGTCGAACATGCGCATGTTCATGCAATGTCCATGTCAAGCGTAGTGCGAGGGGAATAATATTTTGGCTTTCGGGGGCCTAAAATTAGCCGAAAAATGGTAAGCATTCGAGAAAAGTGCGATTATACGCCAACAAGATCACGCTTGTGTCGCGTTATTCAACCAACCGGTCTGTCTCCTCGTCCCGGAGTTTCGCACCTTTTCGAGTTTTTAGAATAACCTATCCCCCGCACTATAATGATGTTTTTCACACTCACGTCGACCTCGTCACCCGGGACGATGGAGCAACGCGAAATTTTACTTTGTGGCTTCCCCCCGCTACTCCCAACTTTAAAAATATGGTTGCGTTAAAATGATCTCTGATGCAATGCAAAACCGTCTCGACATATCATAGTGTGTTTTGAATGATATACAAGCTGTCATTTTTGTATTTTATGACTTTCAGACAGCCAAGATAACTGCTTGAATTAAGATTGTAGAATATTCTATTGACATGTACTTTTTTTAATTATAATGTAATGAGTTTCAGAGTTGTATTGATGTCGCTTTCACTTTTACCTACTGTTACTTTTTTATTTTTAAATTAATGATAAGAGAGTTTATAGCACTCATTATTTTATTTATGTTGCAGCATAAGTTAAAATTTTCACAAAGGGACAAAGTGAAAAAATTTATAACGTTTACACAAACTGGAGAACAAACTGCGATATATTGTTTAGCCCAAAATGATTGGAAACTGGATCTCGCTAGTGATAATTACTTCCAAAATCCAGAAGCTTATTATAAAGAACCGAAAAATTCTGTTGACAAAAAGAAATTGGAAATATTGTATAGCAAATACCAAGGTAGGATTGCTATGAAATATTAGTGAGAATTCATTAGTCTATTATTTATGTGTTTAATGTTAATAAATAAATTATAATTATTATCTTACAGATCCAAGTGAACCTAATAAAATTACCGCGGATGGTATCATGAAATTTCTTGACGACTTGAATCTAAGTCCTGAGAGTAAATTAGTTCTAATCATTGCGTGGAAATTTCGTGCTGAAACACAATGTGAATTCACTAAAGAAGAGTTTATGAATGGAATGGTGGACTTAGGGTAAATATTAACTTCTATGATATCCATCTGTGATGGTTGAATAAAAAATGAATGTGTTGTGAATGTGCCTTACATTCACATTATTTTTCATCATCAGGCATGTGTATATAAATATAACTATTTTCATAATTATTTTCAGTGTGGATAGTATAGATAAGCTAAAAGCGCGATTAGGTAGTTTAGAAAATGATTTAAGGGATCCTCTAAAATTCAAGGATTTTTATCATTTTACATTTAATTATGCGAAAAATGCGGGACAGAAAGGCTTAGATTTGGATATGGCAATTGCGTATTGGAACATTGTATTAGACGATAAATTTAAATTTCTTCAATTATGGTGTCAATTCTTACAGGTAAGTAAATTTTGGATATTACTTTTGAATTTACTTTTTTGGCAAGTTACTTTAAAATAATAAACTGATGTATTCTAGGAACATCACAAAAGATCAATTCCAAAAGACACATGGAATTTATTATTAGACTTTGCACTTATGATCAATTCGGACATGAGTAATTATGATGAAGAAGGTGCTTGGCCTGTGTTAATCGATGATTTTGTAGAATGGGCACAACCTCGAGTTCGTCAGTCTCTCTAACGATTTTCTTTTTTTTTTGCAACATTCTCGCACATGATAACTTTATTCGTTTACAAAAGATATATTTTTAAAATTATTTTGTGAAATATTTTTTTCCGATGACGACTTTGTTTTACTTTTTAAAATTGATTAGAGACGAATTAATGCACATAATATAATGAATCATAGTATATACCATATAGCATCTTGTAATATGCATTCTCAACAATTTACAATATATCGCTTCAGTAGATACAATTTCATTTGCTAAAATATGTAAAGAGAGAAAGTTTTGAGTGTTTGCTTAAAAAAATAATAGTTATTTCCTTATTTATTAAGTTCAAGTTGTGTGAAATCTACTAACCACATAGATACTTGTACAATAATTTAATTACGACTTTTGCTTTATCTTCAAAGAGAAAAAAGCATTGCCTTGAAATTGATCATATTGTACAAAAGTAATATATGTGTGAGATGTTTATTTACATGTGGGAATATAACAGAAAGTTGCTCAACTACCACCGGTAGTATTTGCAAGCAATTAAAAAACTCGACGTTCTTTTGAAATAATATGTCGGAAGCAAAATTGGAAGAGAAATTAGTTCATATGTTCCTGTAGATAGTAATTTCTAGAAATTGCGTTGTTGAAGAAATTGTTATTAAATAAATTCTACGATACTCTATTACACGACACTTAGAATGTATATAAAAACATAAAGAGAAAGAAATCTGTATTTTAGACATTATACTATTTCGGCATCATTCTATTTATTTTTTTATATTCAATCAGGTTATAATGAAGAGAAATTTGTTTCTCATATGTATATTAGAAGAAAGATTACTTGTATACAATATACTTCTGAAACTTTATATAACATTGTTCTAGAGACAAAATATAATTTTTTTTATAAACTTAATATAATAGTTTTCATTTTCAATCATATGGTATAAGTTCATTCATGGAATTGTTGTATAAAAAGTCATTTGTGATGTTTTTTACAGATTTGATTCTCTTAACAAGTTTATCGTAGGCATTTTGTATGTTAAATATTATCCCTTGTAACTACATTCTATAAAAATTTAGCGCAGTAATATATTTAGATTTTTATCTATACAAAATATGTGGAGATTATAAAGACATAATGTAAAAATTATTTATTATCGTAAATTGGAAAAATTGTTAGGAAATCAAAATATTGCAGCTATATATATAATAAAATTATGAAACAAAAACTTTGGAATAAAATTATCTCGTCCACGCGTTTTTGATTAAATTTTATAAATATAATGTGAAATAGACAAAAAGAGAAAATTTCAACAAATATATAAAGCAGTATAAACTTATTATTGTATGTAGTTACATATCGCCAGGGATACGTTTGCACAATACTAAACTCATTCAAAATAGAATATATTATTATTCGAAAGTGAGGAAATTGATATTCGAATATCATTTTCGGATATAATTTTCCTTAATAGTTTCAGCATTGTGCAGACAATACATTGTTTTACCAGCCTTAGGAGAAACAGAAAGTAAATTGTACATACTGTAAATAAATATATCAATCTATTCAGTGCGTCTCTGTTTAAATAAACTGCTGAATAAATATACACCATATTTCGTGTATATTATCTCTATGTGTTTAAATGAATATTAAATAAAAAGTTCTGCTAAAAGTCCACAATTATATTTCGTGTGTGTATTATTTATTATATAAGTTAGAAAAAAAAATTTATTTTCTAAGTTTATAATCGGCAAGAAATATAATTATTAATAAAATACGTCAGTATTTAGTTATAAAAATGATTACATTTTACAAGATTTTTTACATTCGCATAAAATTCTATTATGGCCCTTGCATTGTGTATAGGAATATAAGAAAGCTAATTCGTATTTATTAGCGTGTATATTGTAACAATTTTTTAATACATCCTGAATATACCAATTGCATAATGATTCCAATCTATCGATAGTTGTCTGCATCACATATTTTTTTTCAATTATTAAAAGGAACATAATATTTGTATTTACATTGTATTCTTTAGTATTCATTAAAGTCTCGAACTTACCTGAGCTATGACTAATCCATGATTTGAGTTGTCAGTAGTGTGACTGTGTGAATCAAATAAAGTGACCTAAGAATAAAACTTGGGTCTTATTTGTACAGGATGATCATTAATTATATGTGTCAACATTTTAAAAAGTAAATCTAATTCAAAACAAAAAATGCTCTATGTGATTATTTATTTAGACGATCACCAACTAAGATATGGATATATAATTAAGACTACCATGTAATGATTTCTATTGATTATAGCTACATGTGTGCTTACCTTACTTGTAGTTTCTTGAAATATAAATAATATAGTACGTCCGCATGTGATAAGCAACATAAACAAAGTGTGACATTTTGGATTTTTGTATTACATTTTTCCTTAGCGTTTCATTGAACTCGTAGTTTTACAAAATTAACTAGATAATAATATATAACTAGACACAATTGATCTTAAATAATGACATATGAGCGTAGTTATTTTATATATATATATATATATATATATATGTATATATATATATTATTCAAGTGTAAGATGTATATATTCAAAAATTCTTCTATTTGTTCAGAAATATAGTTGAATAAGAAATAAATAATTTTTTTTTTTGAATATTAATAAACTTACACATGTGTACAGTTACATATATATATATATATATGTATTAGGTCTATTAGGATATAATTCATATTAAACATTCCTATCATACCCATTCTTTTAATATATTTAAGCTCTTGCCCCCATGTTTTAAAGCATCTTCAGTATTCAAATACGGATGTGATATAAGCCTTTTCTTAATAAGCCACGCATGAATAGTGTTACCCTCAATTATTGCCTCTGCCACAATAATATTTAATCTCGGGCAGTTTTCTATATCATAAATCGATACATTGCCTCTTGAGATTCGTACAGCCACAAGTAAACATATAAGTGTACAGGCTTCACTTACTGAGGGTTATTCAATACATAAAAAAAATAAGTTTTATCGACAGTATGATATATGTGAGTATACTCTCAATTTGATATAAGTAACAAAATATAATTACGTTTTTGTCCTGGTGGATAACGGCTTTGTGTAAATTCAGGTTGATACCATAATATATCTACTTCGTTATTAAAACAGTTTTTCATATATGACGGAAAGTGGCAGCTAAATAGTGGTGGTAAAGTCATAATTACAAAAGTATCTTTTATTCCATATGTTTCTCATTACTTATTAATTTTATTACCAAATACATCTCTTTGTGATTCATATTTATGTTCTTTCCAAAAAGGTTTAATGTGTATATATATAAGTCAAGACATTTTGGATACCAAATTTTGTATAATAGTTGGGTTATAATTGTATTGTGTGGTATATTATGGAAAACAATTGTATGAAAAATAGCTACATTCATTAGATACAAATTAATTGTTTCATTTCAAGTAATTGAATTAATCGATTTAAGTTATGTTCCGCTACTAGCACTGAAAATCTATAGTTCATGTTATGTAGTACCTATAAAAAAACTGATTTACTGTGACCCGCCTTAATGAATCGGAAAATCATTTTGGATGGAGTAGGAAAAACGAAGAAGATGAATAGAACTCGTAATGTATAACACGATTTTTAAAAAGTATAATTTATATGGTTCTTAAAATAATAATTGACATCTAAAAATAACTTTTTTAATGATTTTGTTGCCGAAATAATTGCACAATTGAGAAAAGCAATACAGCTTTTTTAATATAAATCGTACTTTACAATCTATATTTCCAGAACATATTTCCAGCTTACTTAATAAGAGAATGAATGAAAGCGAGAGAAAATTATTATTTGATATTTATTATACTTCATAACAAAACACATTTTATTAATTGAATTTCTCTTTATAATGATATTTCTTGCAGTGACATATTGATCATTGATCGATCGTTTCAAAACATGATTTTTCTTTAAAGTGATATAAATTTCATCATTTTATTCTTTTATAAAAAGCATATTGTTCCTATGAATAATTCTTTTAATATTTAGCATTTAAAAAGAATGTATGAAATTCAGTTTCAAATATATGCATGTATGTACGAATGTATGTATATTATCATAAAAAGTATATAACAATATACTTATTATAATAAGATATAAAAGCGTCTGTGCTACACGTGTAAATAATATGACTTTACAATTATGAAACTAATAATCTATTCAAGATTAGTTAATGTGTTATATATGCCCAAGATAACACAAAAGTGGAAATATATTTCATGAATATAAAAACAAAAGACATCTTTATATATTTACATATAGACTACATTCTGTTATTCTGCGAGTAGTGAAAAATCTATGGTATACGTCAGGGCTGTCCAAACTTTGCTCGTGAGTGGAAAACGCTTCCCCCTCTTCGTCATCTCAGTAGAGCGAGACGGAGCGAAAATAACAAAGGATAGGCGCCAAGGCTCCGCCTGAATTCAGGTCTGTCCGAGATTCATAGAATAAAGGAGCCAAGGAAGAACCCATTTCTCAATATACAATTATTGTAGCTGTTTTTTATTATGTTTATTATACTCAGCAGTGACACCCAAAAATTACAATAAAATTAAGCACAAACGTTTCCACCTTTAATTTGATCATCATCAGTGATTTTTGCAACAACTTATGATGACCAGAAATTAAAGGTCGAAATTTTTAAATAGATTTTATTGTAATTTTTATTTTATGTGATTGTATATTCATTTCCGCATAAGGCAACAAGCGTTAGTCCAAAAGCCTTTTAATACTTAAATTATTTTAATATTTTTAAAAAATTGTACAAATAAATTGTATTTTATATACAATTGTAAATAATTATATATTGTTAAATTATATTATTAATTCTATATAGTTATATATAATTTTATATAATTATATATAAAATTTTTTTTCCTGGGATGATTGTATGCTTAAATTTCGGCTTAAATAACTGTCTATACATTTTATGAATCTTTAT